GAGGCATTACAAAGAAGATTTCGACCTAAAAAAAATGTGGGTAGGGTATGTTGTTTTTGACATGGAGGATCAAAGATTTTCAAGTAATCGCTGTATTTTAGAAACTATTCTACTCATTAAGCTGAAATTGCACCCCGGAATACTTTACAGCAATACCTTTATTGTGTGATGAGATTTTAGACTCTCAGCTTCAGCTTGAGTTATTTCTTACATCAAGATTTATAAAATTTTTCGAAATAATTGAGACATTCTTTGGTACACAACCATATATATGGTACTCATATTTTGTATTTGTCCGTTTCCGGCAAAATTAGCAAATTGAAAAACCGACCGATCAGGAGGCTTCCATTCCGAAGTAAACATTATACGAATAACTAGAGTTTACAGAAAATTAGAAGAATTTCAGATTCCTTATCGAAAGTCAAGTTGACGGAATACCGGGAAGAGTGAAGACCGAATATTCTGTCAACTTTCGAAATAAGTGCTCTTCAAATAAAATTCAGTTCAAAAACCTTTGAAAAATGTTATTCGCATCCATTATTGAAATTTTCAAATTGAATAGGTAATGAACTGAGATGGATCGTTCTTATTGATGTGATACTTCGTAAAATGAGAACACACAATAAATAATTAATTTTCTTACAAATAAAAGACAAGGAGAGCAAGTACAATGAAGGGGCATCAATGCAATCTGCGTGGTTAAAATGAGAATAAAAAAAAAATTTGTTCAAGTCTACGAATTTATTTTGTCACCTGAATCCCGATTGATATTTTGGGATGTTATATAAAATTTGATGGGCTTGTAAACGAACGGTAAAAGTCTTGGATTAATGGAGGCAGTGAATGGAATAGTGAAGATCATGTCGAAGAAAAAATTCGGAACTTCAGTGGGAAAATATGAGAACTTCACGGATAATTTGACTAGACAAATAATTGAGACCTTTTGCAGGGGTGTAAAAAGCGATGAAGACGCATGCAAAAAATTAAAAATTCTCAGTCGTATGAAATTTTATGATTATTGTGCCGGCTCCTAAAGAGATTTCCAACATAAAATCCAATAGGAATTATTGAGAATCAAATTTTAGTCACTAAGGGACTCATCTACTCCTGCGAACTCCCTTGGATGCTTTCAGAAACAATCCCGAAAAGCCTGGAATGAAGACTCCGTAAATGCCCGACTACAACTCAAAATATCCGAGCTAAATAACTTTTGAACGAGGGCGTCAATTGAAAGAAATGTAGAGATGAAAGTTGTAGGGTTCCATGAAGAACACTTGATACATGATTTGTTCATAGGATGTTGAGTTTTCTAACGGCGAAGGTGAACTTCCTTGGCTTTTATGAACATAGCAACCCCCATAGCAATCTTCTTAGCAATTCCCACAGACTGCCTTATTCCAAGCTCTTGTTTTTTTTGTTTTTTTTTTTCATTTTCAATTAAGGTTGTTGTCGTGTAAACCCGTTTTTCGACAGATTTTTAAAAAATTTTTGCTATAGATAGCTCTTAAAATTCCCTCCAAAATGAGCACAACAAAAAACCAATCGTCAGTTTCTGAGCTGAGATATGATTTTTTGAATTAACATGGGTTCAAATGCATTTCACCGTTTTTATTAAAAAAAAAAACCACTCGACATTTTTTGATGAAATTAACACAGAACGTCGAAATAGTGACCACCAATATACTGAAAAACAAAGAAAGTGATCGTCAGTTTCGTAGTAGAGCATTAAATTTTCAAAGTAGCATTATTTCTCCCAGTGGGCGGAGCGCATGGGTTTGTTGCGCGCGACGCGACAACAACGCTTTTTGCTCGAGTGGCGCGAATCTATTTGGAATTGTCAATGACGAATCAAAGGGACGATTCATAAATAAATTAAATACATTGAGTGAGAAAGAGAGAGACATGAAAACTGAGACACGCTGCGCGCGGTTGCCACGAACGGCACCATTTAGCGTTAGCTGTGTGTACATGTATCCATGCATGGTAGATTCTTGTGTGCGTGAGTCGAGTGGAACTGTATATCCGCAAAAGTTTCTATTCTAACTCGTATTCTCCGCTTAGCGGAAGATCAACCCGGAACGTGGTAAATTTTAAGCCCGACTCTCTCGCGACAACAACCCTAATAGAAAAATCTAAGCTAACTTGATGATTGAAATTTCTATTCAATTGAACATAACAATTAGGTGGAATAGATCGGCGACGGAAAACATTTCATCAATTTTTTCATAGAAGAAGAAACGAAAACACTATTTTTACACATACTGCCACCTGAATTCAATAGTATTCAAATAAACTTTTTCACCCACCATTGTATATATGTTCTGACTGATGTACGTAAATATCATCGAGATTCTCTAGGAAAAAAAATATCACGAGAATGAGAAAAAATAATTTTTATGTCATGTCATCAGGACACGTTCTTAAAGCTATCATAGAAAAACCGATGTTTTTAAAACATTCCAATTAACAAAATGTGGATGGATAAAATCAATTTTTAATGACGTATTTTGCAAAGATGGGAGAATATTAAACTCGGTTGACAACGATCGTCACAAATTAAATAAATAATTACTCCGCTTTCGTAAAAAAAATATGCATTCAGGTGAATTTTCTACTCTCAATGATTACATACGTGATTATTCCGGTTTCACAGAGAAATACAATGGATCCCAAAACTCTCTTTAAAGTGTTGTTTGATGCAGCTTGTAACTGGAAACCTTGCCATTCTTTATTAATAACTTTTTGTTGCAGTTGGGATGTCGACCGCGGACCTTAAGCTTGATCAGCGTGATCGTCCTGGCGATATCAAATATGTTTTTAACCTTCCTTCTACTTCAATCAGAGACGTGTATGAATTCAGATGATAGTGAAAGTTTGATGCCAATGAATACGGTGACAGAATGGAACATTAATTCGGAGGATGAAAACCTTCAGACGAAGAATACCGTCCGATGCCATGTAAATGAAGGAAATTCAGACGTCAATGACACAAAACCTCCCGATTTGGATTTTCGGTTAGGAAGATGGGATAATCGCCGACAGTACAAAACTTTTGACTCTATTCTTGTTGGCTCAAAATTTGCTGAACTATCGACAACAAAATGTATTTGTCTCGCTACACAATCATCTTTAGAAAAATTACACTCCCTAGTTCAAGTTGCGCATCATTGGACTGCATCAATATCTGTAGCATTATATATCGCTGGGGATGAGGAATTGGAAGCTTTACAGAAGTATCTATATTATATTCGGAGATGCTATCCGCCAATTCGTGAACGAGTTACCTTTTCCTTAGCAGTACCGAAGAATAAAATTCCGACAAAAAATCCAACAAGAT